GGGGGTCACCCCCGGGGCCTGAGTGCGAGCAATGACAGAAGGAGGAGAGGCGACTATGGGAGCCAGGCCATTTCCTGCCCCACTCCAACCTCCAAACCAGACTGCACAAACCTTCCCATCTCCTGTGTATTTGCTGCCCCTCTCCCTCCTGCAGGAACCCACCAGGAATCCCCCCAATGATCCCTACCTGGACTGGCTCCTCTGCAGCCATTTCCCTTCCCTGTCCCATCGGAGGCTGGGATCAGCTGGAGCGAAACGTGGGCGTCATTCTGCAGCCTGGCAGGGCGAGAAGGGCAGTTGTGGAGGTTTCAGAACAGACTTCAGTTCATTTCACATCACGATTCCCCCAGACCTTTCCCTGCAGACAGACATCCTAGATTCTGCCATGCTGGGAACATGTTTGATCGCTTTATTGCCATGTAGACCTGGCCCCTCCTGCCAGGCAAAGCCCACACAGTTTTAAGCCCCCAGAAAAGAGCAGAACCAAAGGAGTCACTTTGGGGGATTACCCCTGACACTGACCCCCGAGCCGTGCACACCCCAGCTGGGGGGGATATGGAGTCAGGAACTGGCTTTTCTTCTCCCAGATCACAATGCAGGCTGCAGCCTCTGACCCAGGAAGCTGAATCCTAATACCCAGGACAGAGAGTTTGAGCCGCCTTCCCTCTTTTAGCAACAAGCAGAACCCTGTGGTAAGAGCAGCTAATGAACCCCCCCCCCCCGAGAGGGACAATTGTTCATGGCACATCGTCTTTCCTTGCCATGACTCCGGATTAACACTGCTCTCAATGACACCAGAAGCACAGTTCAGAAAGGATGAGGCCAGAATCCTCTTCTGCAGATCACTGTGTGGGGCTCTTAACCCCCTTCCCACCTCCCTCCCCCCCCAGATCTAGGACAAGGACTCAGGGCAAGAATTTTCCCACAGAACCGGAAGTTCCTGCAGTTTTCCAGAGGGGAGAGAAGCAAATATCTGCTGGTGGTTTCACCTCTCAGTGTCTGATAAGTGGATAGAAAGTTAGCACTGTGGGAAGCAGCCCCTCATGGTGACCCTTTGTCATGGGGTTTGGGAAACTTCTGGACCCACGCTGCACTCAGAGAGACCTCCTCATCCCGTGCCAGCTGGAGCAGAGAAAAGGGTCCAGCCAACTCTCCTGTTACCAGCTGGGAACCACCGATCCCCCAAACAGGGGGAGGCCTCTGGCTTTGACGTGTATTAAATATGTGGCTGGTCTCTTTCATCGGCAAACCTTTTCACGTAGATAAAGAGGGGAACAAATGACTCTCAAAGGAGAGGAGGAAGATGATCCTTATGCAATTTAACCCCCTTAAAGTCCAGGATTTTTAATTGCCGTTTGATAATGACATAGAAAGAGGCAAACCGGAGATCTGAGTCCAT